ACTACTACTACTACCACTGCTGCTACGTCTTCTTCTTCTACTACTACTACTGCTACTACTACTGCTACTACTACTACTACTACTACAACTACTGCTACTACTACTACTACAATTACTACAACGACAACTACAACTACTACTGCTGTTACGTCTTCTACTACTACTACTGCTGCTACTACTACTTCTACTACTGTTACTACTACTGCTACTACTACTATTTCTGCAGCTACTACTACTACTACTGCTACTACTACTACTACTACTACTACTACTGTTAGGACAGCCACAACACCGGCAACAACGGAATTAATTCCACTAAAAACCAACGAGACAAAAATAGATGGGATGAAAGAAGCTGCAGACGACGAGCCAATGGATACGACATTCATTCAGAGAATATCCAGCAAGTATAAACTCACGGACCCGTCGGTGCCGGGTTCGAAACCCCTCAATGTCCCTATACCTGTCTCAGAAACATTTGACGATTCTGATGGTGAGATAATGATGATAATGGTAGTGATGATGATGATGAAGAAGATGACGATGATAGTGATGACGATAGTGATAATGAACGTGACGGTGAAGATGATGATGATGATGTTGGTGATGATGATGATGATAGCGATTTTTATTACGCAGATCTTCCAATGTTAGATATCAGAAATTTTGGGAAAAAAGAATATGCCAAAGGTTGTTATTAATATCCATTCATTCGTTCGTTCGTTCGTTCATTCATTCATTCATTCGTTCGTTCATTCATTCGTTCGTTCGTTTGTTTGTTCGTTCTTTCGTTCGTTCGTTCGTTCATTCATTCATTCATTCATTCATTCATTTATTCGTTCGTTCGTTCGTTCGTTCGTTCATTTAATTATTTATTTATTAATTTATTAATTTATTAATTAATTAATTTATTTATTTATTTTCGTTAACAATATAAAATTATTAATAATAATAATTAATAAAATTAAAATAATCTTATTATTATTAATAACAACATTAATAATAATAATGAAAAAAATAATTTTTCTCTCCTCCGCAGAACTCTGGATTTTGGGAGCGGATGATATATCCGTATACGTGAACGGAGAACTAGTCCCACTTCCGGAATTCCCGGATCCACTTTGCCCCTACCATATTTTAATGCCGCACGGCACATCCCTGATTGCGGTACACGTCGTGACGACGGATCCGCTTCCGGCTGGCTTCATGGCATGGTCTAATGGCCATTTTTTCGACTCCAATAGGAGGTGGTGGGCGATTTTGTGGTTGATATTATTATTATTATTATTGTTGTTGTTATTATTATTATTATTATTATAAAAATCATCATCATTACCACCACTGTCACTATCATCTTCAGTCCGTCACCATCACTTTCATCATCATCATCTTCTTCATCATCACTTCATCATCTTCTTCATCCTTACTTCATCATCTTAATCCCTTTCATCATCTTCATCATCATCACTTCATCATCTTAATCACTTCCACCATCACTTCATCATCTTAATCATCTCCACCATCGTCTTCATCATCACTTCATCATCTTAATCACTTCCACCATCATCTTTATTCTCACTTCATCATCTTAACCACTTTCACCATCGTCTTCATCATCACCATACGGCAGGTGGCGATGCACGGACATGTTCCCGGATTTCGGGTGGGAGTTGGAGTCGTACGATGACTACAAGTATAACTGGTCCAACGCCTTCATGTTCATACAGAACAAAGATGCCGAGGGTTGGAGATGATGATGATGACGACGACGATGATGATTATGATTATGATGGTGGTGATAATGATGATGATAGTGATGTTGATGATGATGATGATGATGATGCTGACGATAATAAACATAAACATAAAGAAATGATGGGCGCGAAAAACATATGCCCATATCTATATGTTCGTTTTTTCGTTCGTTCATTCATTCATTCATTCTTCCATCTATCCATTCATCCATTTATCCGTCCATCCATCCATCACTCTTCTCAACTCACTTTAGGAGTACGAAGCCAGCTTACAGATGCTGTCAACCCCAACAACACTAACAACAACATTAATAATAATAGCAACACTAATAACAACAACAACAACAACAACAACAACAATAATAATAACAATAATAATAATAACAATAATAATAAAAACGTGGCGAAGTATAAAATGGTTTTCCCCAGAATTGCTGGCATGGATGACGAAGCTTGGTGGGTTGGTTAGTAGCCTTTTATTATTATTATTATTATTGTTATTATTACTATTATTGTTATTATTGTTGTTGTTATTATTATTATTAATATCTCTAATAGCTTGAAAAGTTACTTAAACGACGAATTAAAACGTTTAAAAATAACAATAAATACATTTGAAATATCTACTCTAGGTCTTTTTAAAACATTTGATCCTTCGCTAATAAAAATTATTTGGACTGATTATTTTTGCAATAACCTCATAAACTCTGCCATATCATCGTCGTACATTCTCTATTGCGACAGAAATGTGAAATTGATCGGTTTTAAAACTAATCAACTCTGGTCGTACTCTCTCGATTCGAATTATGAGCTTCTCGGATTAAGACTCTATTTATTGCATTTGATTTATTTCATCTTTTATTTCATTATTTTATTTCATTTGTACTGCCATTTTTATTGCTGAATAAAAGATTGTCCCCATTAATCGTCATCGTCGTCATCATCACCATCGTCATCACCACAATCGTCACCAGGAGCATCTGATGACGTCAGTGGTGGAGGTAACGTGATGGGGAGAAGTAAACTGCCCCATAAGTTCGATGAACTTTTCTGTAGACTGAGATTAAACAGCATGGGATTTCCAAGTTCGTTCCTTCGTTTGTTCGTTCGTTTGTTTGTTTGAGGAGTCTATCTATATACCTTTTATTCATCAAAATAATGATTTAGTTTGTTGCAGTTTGTTAACATCTGTAAGCTGACTTCGCACTCCGGAAGTGAATTCAAAAGAGTGATGGATGAATGGACGGATAAATGGATGAATGAATGGATGGATGGATGAATTAATGAATGAATGGATGGACGGATGGATGGATGATTTAGTTTGTTGTAGTTTGGTTATTATTATTAGTTCTTTATTCTGATGGTTCTTCTTTCGTTTTATGCAGTATTTTCCAAACTCATAAAAGCCCCACTGGATGCAAATCACAATCGAAAGGAAAACTGCGGATGTTATCAAGATGAATAATATTATACGTGTGCATGAGTGCGTGTGTGTGTGTTTGCTTGTCTGTGTGTGTGTGTTTGCACGTGTGTGTGTGTGTTTACTTGTCTGTGTGTGTGTGTCTGCGTGTGTGTATTTGCTTGTCTGTCTGTGGGTGTTTGTGTGTGTTTGCTTGTCTGCGTGTGTGTGTGTGTGTGCGTGTTGGTTGGCTCTGGAAAAGTGACGGCGTAGCTAGCGGCATGGCCTCTACCACTTTTGGCAGCCTTCGCATAAATCCACAACTGTATATAACACCAGTAAATACGTTTAAATTGTTATACTATATCATATTTTATAAAAATAATTTTAATTAATTAATTTTAATTTATCTTTAATTTATTATACAATCACATATATTATGATCTTACAACAGTTTTCTTTCATTTTGAGAACTTCTCTGATGTTTTATATGAAGTTTTATTCATTCATTTGATTATTCAACTTCATTCTGGGGATGATTTTCATCAAAATGCTGAAACTTCAAATGTCTCTACATTATGACCAGAAGGGTACGAATACTCTAATTAAAATTAATCAACTAAAATTAATTAACTAAAATTAATAAACACTAAAACTAATTAACCTAAATCAATTAATTAAAAAAAGGGGTAATTATTAAATTTTAATTAAATTTATTTAAATTAAATTAAATTTATTTCAACAAACAGGCAGAGCTCATCGTGCCATTTAAAAAAAACTTCGCAAAACGATTTTAGAGCACAATAAGAATAATAATAAAATAAATAAATAATAAGATTTGTATTTTATTTTATTATTTAAAAAAGAAAAACAAGAAAAAATGTTGCGTATTATAAATATAAGTGACTGTTCATTAAATATATATACATATATATATATATATATATATATATATATATATATATATATATATATATATATATATATATATATGAGACAATAAACTAATAATTATAACATTACATACAACAAGAAGGTTAAATAAATTAAATCAGCAATACAATTCAATGCCAATAACAGCAATGGGAGAAGTAACAGGCATAATGAAATCGACTCACGCACACACGCACACGCACGCAAACAAACACACACATACAGAGCACGAACACACACACGCGAACACACACACACGCACGCACGCACGCACACACACACACGCACACTCAAATATAATAAAAACAAAAGACTACAAATCAGTAATAATAATAACAACAACAAATAATAATAATAATAGTGCAAGAAATTAACCATTGGAACATGATTGGAAAGCAAAGAATGAAAAAATGACCAAAAAACGAGCAAGTTAAATAAATCAATCAACCAATCAATCAATCAACCAATCAATCAATCAATCAACCAACCAATCAATCAATCAATCAATCAATCAATCAATCAATCAATCAATCAATCAATCAATCAATCAATCAACCAATCAATCAATCAATCAATCAATCAATCAATCAATCAACCAATCAATCCATCAACCAATCAATCGATTGACTAATCAGTAAACTAATAAAAAGTAATTATTAGATAAATGATCAGTCAATTAGCCATTAATTCAAACAATCAATCAGTCTGTCTCTTATTTACAGTTATTAATCAATCAATCAATTAATTAATCGATCAATCAATCAATCAATTAATCAATCGATCAATCAATCAATAGATCAATAGATCAATAGATCAGTCGATCAATCTATCAATCAACCAATCAATCAATCGATCGATCAATCAACTAACCAATCAATCAATCAATTAATTTATTAGTATTAATGAGTTTCTAATTAAAGATCGAGATTAGCATTGGAGGAGTCCTGAATGAGAACGTTAGTGGTGACGACATCGGCTCCACCAGCCACACTTGGTGGCGGGAGTTGATTGAGTAACTCTAGCAGTAGTTGAGGTTGTTGTTGTAGTAATTGTTGGGAGAGTAATTGTTGTTGTTGTTGCTGTTGTTGGTCGGTCGTCGTGATGTTGAAAGTGATTTGTTGCTGTGAGAGAAGTTGTTGCAGCTGTTGCTGGGTTAGCAGCTGCTGAAGCTGCTCCTGTTGCTGCTGCTCTTGCAGTAAGATCTGTTGTTGCTGCTGCTGTTGCTGAAGTGGGTCTAACTGTTGCATGATGATGTTGCCGTGTTGCTGTAGGTTGTTCTGTAAGAATGTTGATAGGTTACTGAAGTGTTGCTGGTACTGGATGTTGTTGCTGCTGCTGTCACTGTTGTCGTTCTGAGAAACGATGAAAAAATTTGACGAGTTGACAATGTCAGCCGCATTTGTGGCAGCAAATTGAGCTTCTTGAAAGAGTTGCTGCTGCTGCTGTTGATCTAGTGGCAGTTGTTGCAGCTGAAGCTGCTGTTGTTGTAGTTGCTGTTGTAACTGTTGTTGTTGGTGAAGATCTAACTGACCGGGTAGCAGTTGTAGTTGCAGCAGCTGTTGATGCTGCTGAGGGGCGAGGGTGGCTGTTGAGATCTGATCAGCTGATAGGAGGGTTTGTTGCAGAATGTTTTGTTGTAATGCATCATCTTGCTGCTGCTGATGTTGTTGTTGTTGTTGTTGAAGCTGCTGTTGTTGAAAAGCATGTTGCAAACCTAATTGATTTTGTTGGTCGATTGTAATGACATTTTGCTGCTGATGTTGTTGTAACTGTTGATGTAATTGTTGTTGTTGTTGCTGTTGTAGTTGATGTTGTTGTTCATCAGCCTGATGTTGTTGTTGTTGTTGCTGCTGCTCCTGAAACTCAAACTGTTGAAAACTTCCTTGCTGATGATGATGCCTTTTCAGAAACTCGTTCTCCATTTTGAGTCTGTGAATGAGTCTATAGGCAGAGTCGAGTTCCTTGTTCAGCCTCCGGACCTCCTCGTTCCTTTCGAGCATGGATGATCTCAGCATCTTTTTCTCGGCGTCGCAATATCCAGACAGCATGGAAGCAATGAGATTCTGTTGTTGTTGCAGCAGATTTTGCTGCTGTATCGGATCGTCTAGCTGCTGCTGCTGCTGTATAATGGTTGCAATGATTAGCAGCAGCTGGTTGCTGAAGTGCTGCTGTTCGTACTTTTGCATCATCTCGCTGCACTGCGGCGTGGCGAGTCCGCGCAACACCTGGCCCTCAATCAACTCGACGTTCAGAAACGTAGAAGCCGCTGAAGCCGCTGCTGACGACTTTGCAGCTGCCGTCGTCGGGATGTACTCACCTACATAGGAAAGAAAAAAAAAATCAGCTCCAACATTTACAGCCACATCACCACATCTTTAATGTAATAATAATAATAATAATAACAACAACAATATGAAGAATAAGAATAAAAAATAAGGATAATAATAACAAAAAATTACCTGGCTCTATCTCATCATCGGCATTATCACTGCAGTAGTAAGCCGCTTGAACGGTGAAGCCATTATTATTATTATTTAAATTACTATTAATTATATTATTCATATTATTATTAATAATTATATTATTATTATTAATGATGTTAATATTATTATTATTATTATTATTATTATTATTATTATTATTACTGATGATAGTGACGTCGTTATCGTCATCGTCATCTATATGAAGCATCTCCACGAAGGTCGTTGAGCTCGTCGCCGTCGTACCTGCCATCAGCATCGACTGATCATTAATATTAACACTATTATCATTATTATTATAATTAAAATTATTATTATTGTTGTTGTTATTATTATTGTTATTATCATTAAGCATGATGATGTCGTCGCCATTAATCTTCCCTTTCGCGCTCGTACCACCGTGGTCGTCACCAACCTGGCTAGCCTTTTCACCACCATCTACCAGGCTAACACCATAATTACTATCATTATCATTACTAATAACATTATTATTATTATTATCATTATTATTTTCATTATTATTATCATTATTATTATTATTGTTGTTGTTACAAGTAGCAGCGATGGAATCATCTTTATCGTCGTCGTCGCTAGTTTTGTAGCTCAACAAGGAAGACAATGTGGTCTTTGCGATAGTCGTCGTCGGTGGCGGTGGTGGCGTTGGTAGCCACTCAGTGACGTTACCTTGCTTTGTATTATTATTATTATTATTGTTGTTGTTGTTGCCATTATTGTTATTGACAGCAACAAAGCTACTGCTAATAAACTCATCTCTACTCACATCATCATCGTTGTTATTATTATTATTATTGTTGTTGTTGTTGTTATTATTAATGTTGTTGTTATTATTATTTTTGCTATTGTTGTTGAATACAGAACTATTGCTAACTGGTTCAGTTCTATCACCATCATCATCAGTATTGTTATTAATGTTGTTGTCGTTGTTGTTGTTGTTATTATTGTCCTTATTATTACTATTGCAAGCGTCATTATCATCGTTGTTGTTGACGTCGCTAGTGGCTTTTACAAAACCAATGCAACAATCATTATTACTATCACCCCCATCATCATCGATACCATCCTGATACCCATCACATCGACATTCTTCGATGGAAGATGATGATGACGATGTTTTTGTTGTTGATGTTGTTGTTGTCGTTGATGATGATGATGCCATTGTTGTTGTGCATGATGATGAAGATGTTGTTGTAGCCAAACCTGATGATGATGATGTTGTTGTAGCCAAACCTGTCGATGATGATGTTGTTGTAGCCAAACCTGATGACGATGATGTTTTTGGTGAATTTTTACCGTTGTTGATGTTGCCAACGGTTGTTGAGATGGACAGCAAATCGTGAGCAACACTAATTAAATAATCATCGTCATTGTTGTCTACGGCGCAGCGATCATCTTTAAAAGTTGACTGTGTAGTTGTTGTTGTTGTTGTTGTGGTTGCGGTTTCGTCGCTGTCATCATCACATCTCAACACTAGCAAATTAGTGTCGACAGTCGCATCAGCTGAAACTTGGGCGCTATTGATGACGAGAGTTTCATTAATTTCAGATAGTGTTGCTGACATGGTGGTTGGTATTGTTTTTCTGGGGGTCGTTGCGGGCTTTCCACCGCCACCACCATCACCTTCACCACCACCAGAGAATGCTGAAGATTCCTTAGTGATCAGCATTTTACTCTCTCTTACCTCATCATCTTCATCACCAATATTATTATCACTATCATCATCACCAACTTTGCCACCATCACCATCATCAACCTTGCCACCATCACCATCATTATCACTATCAACACCATCATTACCATTACCAAAATCATCATTATCATTACCATCATCATCATTATCATTACAAATATCATCATTATCATTACCAATATCATCATTATTACCAACATCCATCCTCTTTACATCACCCACACTCAGGCCAATGACATCGCTTCTAATCGCCAACGATGAATGTTCACTGTTATCGGCGTTATCATCACTTTCAACCCCGACAACAGTAGTAGTAGTAGTAGTAGTAGTAGTAGTAGTAGATGAAGTAGCAGCAGTAGCAGCAGCAGCAAAGGTAGTAGTAATAGGATGAGTAGTGGTAGTAATGGTAGAAGAACCAGTAGTCATCATTTCATCATCATCATCATCATAGTCGTCATCACCATCTCGCTCAACAACATGCTGTTCATTTGGATCATGACCATCAACATCAGTATTATCATTAGTATTATCAGTTATATTATCATTCTTATTATTATTATTATCACTAAATGAATTATCAGGGAAAGCATCAGATAGTTTAGAAATGATTACATCATCAGTATTCCCACCATCACCATCACCATTCTTATCAACGACATTTTTGACACATTCTGAGACATTTTCATTGTGATTTTTATCATTATTATCATTGTCATCACCATCATAGTTGTCCTCGTCATCATCATAAAGTTTTTGTGATATATAAGGATCATCATCGTCATCATTTTCACCATTATCATTAATACATTTATTATCATTGTCATCATCTTTATTAATGTTATCGTCATCTTCATTATCATTACCACTATCGCCCCCAATAATGGTTGTGGCTAGTTTCGAAGTGGCCGATGCTACACCTGATGTCATCATTAATGTTTCCTCTTCAACATCAGCAGATGTCACATCCCTACTTTCACTATCTGAACAACCATCATCACCAGTGTTTGGAACACTTTGTGATGTTGTAATAACATTTGTGGCTGATGTTGTTTCCCCAACTGATTGTGAAGTCAGACAGGAGTCTAATGTTGTGAATTCATTTTCTGCTTTCGACTCAGCTGAAATATTATGTGAATTAGATGTTAAGAAAAAAGGTTTGGTGCTCTCCAATGACGCAATGCCTTCACTACCACCAACGTTACTTTTACACTGACTGCTGGCATCACTAACGTTATTATTTGCGTCCATGTCAGTACTGCTGGTGATGGTAGTGTTGGGTTGGGGCTGGGAATTCGCATTCTCACCTCTTATCGACCGTTCATTTGCTACCGCAACACGATTTCCGTCATTATCCTCACCATCATCATTATCATTACCTTCGAGTAAATGATCGTCTGTAACTTCTATTACCATTTCTTCGTCTTCCTCTGCTGAAGAATAGTCTTTCAGTGAGTCCATATTGTGTGTTTTGTCGACGCTTATTATTTGAATTAAAATTATTAAATTGACAATTTGCGATTTAATTAAAAATAATTACATTACAAAATACTAACAATACGTCGATCAAAACATAATTTAGACTTTAAAGCCAGTCAAAACAAACACAAAAATGACGCCATTGTTTAGCACGCAAGTTTAGTTGGCTCCGAAAAAGATTCGGACGGTATAATGTGTCAAAGCGAAGAAATATTCCAAAAACTGAGACCGCCTCTCTCTCTCCAGCCAAAATATGTAGCGGAACAATAGAAGCCTTCCACTAAAACTTGAATAATAAAGTTTAATTAAAATGACATTCTTATCCTTAAATCATAGCCATGGATATATAAATATATATTTTTATTTTATTATTCCAAAGCTCAAAAAAGTAAACGTGTAGCAGTGCCTTAACTAAAATAGAGTAGATAAACTGAAAAAAATAACTGTGAAACTCATATAAGTTGTGGTGATGAAAGATTTTTTTTTTAATTTATTCTATTATTATTATTTATTTTATTCTAACTTATTTTATTTTTCATGTTTTGACATTTTTCTTTCTAACTTTTTGTATTTATTTACTCACTTATTTGTTTAATTTTCTACTACTGCCTTGCATGTTGTAACAGTTTCTGCGTCTGTCAGATCATGATTTTTAAAGAATAATAAAAAAAGACTAAATGATCTCTTAGTCCTTTCATCTTTAACTAAAGATGTTACATAAAAAAACATCAATTTGTGGGAAATGGTTGATGAATTGGCAAAAATGAAGCCTAGTATATATCCACTGATTCATTAATTTAAATATTTTAAATAATAAGTCGCATTAATGTACAGTTTTAATAATTTTTCTATACTTATATACCACTTACTAGTTCACTTATAATTTTCGTATTGTTCTATTAGAACAGCCAAAACTTGCTGTGTTACCATGGACAGGACATATATATGGATATATATCAATAGATATATGGATATATAGCAAAAACTTCAACTTTGGTTAAAGTAGTAGCAAAAATATTTATAACGAGAATAAAATTTGTGTATATTATGGATTAAGTGTGCATATTATTTGTGTCAAATAAATCATAGAAACAATTTTTTACACACACACAAACAAACAAACACATACACACAAACAAACAAACACATACACACACATACAAACACACACACACAAATATAGACAATGAACAAATCACGTTACTTTTACGCATCTCAAAAAAAAAAGTTTAAAAGTAAACCTAAATGTTTCTCGGCAAGTGTCTCTTTTCTTGAACAAACTAATCTACTGGCTCCTAACCCCTAACCCCGGAAATTTTTTATTTTTAGTAGTTCTAATAAGATTATAATTAGTCTTAAAAGGGCGAGATGGGGTGCTGTTGCAGTGCAGAAAGCGAGTCGTCTGAAGATGAAGTTAGTAGTTTTCTTTTATTTGTGAGAAGTGGGTAAAATCTGCTTTTGCTTTTTCTGGTCCTTCTCTCTGGAACTCTCTACTTACTTCTCTGGCGACTTCTTCATCACTTGCGAAGTTCAGAGCGGATCTCAAGACCCATCTGTTTTCAAAATTCATTGAGGAGCGCTGTTGAACATCACGGAAATAGCACTTTATAAGCTAATTGATTGATTGATTGAAGCTGAAGTTGTTGAAGTGAAAAGAACATTTTTTTTATATCATATTCATGTTTTTCCATAATTTTTTTTTATCATGATATAAATGTAAAATCATATAAATAAAATAAAAAACTTTATTTATTTTATTTTGTAATTTTATTTAATAATAAAACAAGCACAAGAGGTATTAGTATTTATTTTGTCACTCAATTTTGTTGTTATATAATAGACATTGTTTAATTAATTCATTCATTAAAATTAATTAATTAAAAAAAGAGATAGATATCAATGTTAAATAGTTAATAAACTGATAGATCAGATGGATTTAATTCATTCATTAAATTAAAATTAATTAACTAAATAAAATAGATATCAATGTTAAATATTTAATAAACTGATAAATATTGATAACAATGATAATATAATAAATAAATATTAATAAATATGTTTATTATTTTAAAAATGTATCATAATAATTAAATTTATTTTTTTGTTGTTCTGACACATTTCAGCGTACACGTCTAATACCATCTTCCCAGGAACCTATTATCCATCAGACGAACATCATTAGCAGCCAGTTGTTATAAAATTTTTTTTTTTTTTATTTGAAAAATATTTTTTTTAAATATATTTGTATAAAAATAATATTATTGTGGTAGAGCATTTAGAGAAGATAACATTTTAAACATATTTTAAAATAATAATTGGTCAAATAATATTAGGTTAATTTATATTATTTTATGATATACAATGTAATGAAACAAGTTAAAAAAAGGTTTTTTTTAATAATAGTACTAAAATAATTGTATAATCAAATAATAATATTATTGAAATAAAATTACTAAAGTTAAATGAGGAAATGAATATATAAATACACAAACATATTTAGATAAAAACACACACACATATATATATATATATATATATATATATATATATATAATCTTCCTAATATTTATGCAAAATTTTTCTACATCGTTACTATTATTATTATTATTATTATAATTAGCATTGGCCACAGTACCCCACCCATAGTCAGCGTCATCAGTAATAATGTTGAATACGACGATGGTCCTACGTAAGTGTACTTTTCTCCTTCTCCACCGTCGTCGTCAAGTTTGCCTTCTTAATCATACTCGGTCATCATCTTGTGATGCATTATTGAGGCTACATTATCAATTTTCTAGACTAATTTTTCTAATATGATTATCACCACCATCGTCATCATCATTTTCAATGGCTCTTTTCTAGTTTTAATTTTTTGATCATCCTAATCATCATCATCATTTTCAGTGGCTAACTTCTTCCTAGTTCTCTACCCTTACTCATCATTATCACCACCATCTCACTCACTCATCATCATCAGTATCATCTCACTCATCATCATCAGTTTCATCTCACTTATTCGTCATCATCATCACCAGCTCACTCACTCATCATCATCAGTATCGTCTCACCATTATCATCATTTGCAGTAATCAGTTCATGAATGTAGATGCGACAATTATGAATGACACGACGAAGGATGTCACCGAACGAAAATCAAATTTCTACAAGTGAGTTATCTATGGAATGAAAAGATAATTCAATCAATCTTCGTTTTGCGTTCAGAGACCCGGTTCCCCGAAAAGATAATTGATGATTTATAATTGATAAAATTATTAATGAAAATAATTTATAGTTATGTGATAAAACCTGGTGATTAAACTCTTAAGTGGTCATCAGAACTTTCCATCTGATGACCAACATTTATCTGGTAATTGATTTATAAGTGGCTATTTGCATTTTTAAGCTTTTAATTAATCGCTAATTAACCATTTAAAATCCAACTCAAACTAATTTGCCATTAATTATCTATGATTAATTATCTATAATTATCTATGACCTGTCCATCCATCCAGAGCTTACAGATTTATACCTAATTTTAGGCAACTCTGACAAACGCAGAGAACCGCTTACCATGTATCATCGTTGTAGTTAAACCTTCCTTTGAGAACTATCTATCTGTACTGTCTACTGTACTATTCACACCACACGACGTACACACACATTGTGTATGCAAGTGCCAGCGTATGATAGTCTTTGAGTTTCGGATAGACAGTATTTGAACCAGGCCATCGTGTAACTGCATGAGAAGACATGGCACTTCTAGCGACTGAGCAAACTCGCCGACGACAAAACTAATTAATTAACTAATCTTTCCCTAATTCATTACGAAATGGCAGGGAAATGATAAATGGCATACCGGTCAAGGCCTACCCCACTCTGCACCTGCCCAGCGTCATAGACCCCATGTCGGTACTGCTCATGCCCACACTACCTAAACACGAGCTAGAACAGGTTGGAAAAATTATGAAAATTTTTCTTTTTTAACATTTGGAAAAATTTTGGCGGCGCTATTGTGTAACGGTTAAGGTGTCTGGCCATGGGACTATAGTTGTTGTTGTTGCCCTTCTTGACGTCCAAGCGAGCCAGTTTGCCACTTTCACCGGGTTCCTCCACAGATCTATTATTTTGAGATGTGTGTTCAGTTCTCGAGGCATGGGATATTGTTGAAGCCATTCGTAGCAATATTAATAATAGCGTTTCTCATTTTTTAATTTACAATGTTCATGTAAGGTGAATCAATCAATCTTCAATTTTCGTTTTGCGTCCAGAGACCCGGTTGTTGTTTTCTTTGCCATCAACTTTTTAATTTACAATGTAAGGTGAATGAATGAACGAACGAACGAACAAATACTTTTTGAACGTAATACGGCATATTTCACAAATCAATATAAAAAAAACTTTACGAAAAACAAAATGAAATGAGACACGGCCTTACAGAATTTTATATTCTTTAGCCTCTCCAGAAACTTCAACATGTGTTTTTTATTGTGATACACACACAATCAATCAATCAATCTTCGTTTTGCGTCCAGAGACCCGGTTTCCCGAGGTAGGACGTTGTTCTCTTTGCCATCAACTTTTTGCGCCAAATTAGACGATCAGTTGTATCCATTTCCTTTAAATTTAGAGCTTTCATGTCTTGCTCGATTGTTTGCGACCAGGACTTCTTTGGACGGCCTTTGGGACGTGTGCCAGGTACTTCAACATCTGCAAGAGAAGTTATAGCACTGTTTCCACTTCGTTTGACATGACCAAACCACCGCAGACGGTGTTGCCGGCATTCGTCCTTTATATCATCTAAACCAGCACGACGCAGGATTTTGGTAGATTTGATGTGGTCCTTCAGACTAATTCGTTGCATCCATCGGAGCATTTTCATGTCGGTTATGTATATATCCAGCATGTATATATATATATATATATATATATATATATATATATATATATATATACATGCTGGATTAAGACTGTCAGAAATGCATTTATTGATTAGAATGCTATGATTTTCATTGATCTCCTTATCGTCTGTGGGTCGTCTTCATAACCACCTAAATTATCATCCCAATCACCACCACCTTCATCATCATTTTTATTATCATCTCTGTTGTCACCATCACGCTGATTTTCATCAATGCATTCCGATTCTGAAAAAAGTAAGTTGCGATGATGGGGAGATTGGAAACTACAGACCGATTTCTAGTTTGCCATTTGTTTCAAAAGTAATGGCTCAGAAATGTTCACATTTTCACTTTTGCATGGGCCAGATATTGAAGAATTTGCAGTTGTTTGATTAATCTTATAAGCATACATACATACATATATGTCAATCAATCAATCTTCGTTTTGCGTCCAGAGACCCGGTTCCCCGAGGTAGGACGTCAGGACATACCTATATGTGACGGTCATAATTTATAATTGCATAATAAATTATGATAATTCATTGCAACAACAGATAGAGACGAGTTCAGTGCTAATGGCTTCTTTAGTGGAGCAGATGAAACCGAAGGTAAAAGAACCCATAACCACCGTGGCATTGGACTGGTGATGGGTGGGATGATGACCACCATGATGACGACGACGATGGTGGTGACGATGATCCGCGTGTGATAGTGACAACAGAGATGATGATAAAAATGATGAATGAGATGGTGATTGAGATGATGAAATGATAATTTAGATGGTTTATGAGATGATAATTTAGTTGGTTTATGAAGAGGACACAGACGATAAGGAGATTAATGGAGATGATGGTTTTATGGAAAAACTGTACAAAATTAAAACAATAACAATGAATGTAATTAATTTGTTTTAATTAATTAGTTTAGTTGATAACTTGTCAATATATAAATATATATATATGTATATATAAATAAATATATATATATATGATATAATTAAGAAATGTATATATTTTCTGTTATTAACTTTAATTTTTTTAAAAATGCGATTTTAATCTGTATGTTCATTCTCTTAAAATGTTATAATTAGTTGAAATTATTACCATAATTACGATTATTATTACAATAAATGTCCTTTTTTATAACTTGTCGCTATAATTATAACTATAATTATGCTTATAAATATTATTAACATCCAATCAAAATGATTATTACACGAGCTGGATTAACTTGCTCTAAATTGAAGTCACTGCTTTTACACATATGTGTGTGCATTCATATAGTTGATAAATTAATTAATTAATTAAATTAATTAATTAATATACTGATTAATAATCTTATTAGATGTACATAAGTAAATTAATAATGATGATGTAGATGGATAGTAATAATGAATTTCATGAACTTTACAAGGTCAAGTAAATTGACCTCATTTGACCTTTCAACCTTTTAAATGATGTAATACTATAAGAATGTATGAATGTATGGTATGACCCTTTTGTTGCTTTCTACCTTGATAGTCATTCATTGGCGATGATAAAAAGTGATAGCTACTGATGATGATTGATAACAAACTACTGACTAATTAGGGAAATCACTAATTAGTTAGTGCGCCGACTCAGCGTGTGCACCTCAGTTGAGACCGTCGACAACTTTTCGCATCATGTCATCTTTCGCTCCTCCGTCCACCGATTCATCCTTGGCCCCGGCGTCGTCATCAGCAGTGAAGTCTGCGTTATCATCGCCATCGTCGTCGTCGTCAGCTATAGTGCCTAAATCGTCGTAGAACATGTTACTACTGGTGTTACTGAAGTCTGTATTGTTGCTGTTGTTAAGGTTTGAACTATCGTTGGGGTACTCTTTTTTAATCTTCTTCTTTAACTTCTTCTTTGGCTTTCTATACTTTTTAGCGTGCACGATCCTATTCATGACGTCGTCGTCGTCGTCATCGAAATCGCTGTCGTTGAAGCTGCTTCTCGCGCTACTGAGGCTGATGATTTCGTCGCTGAGAATGGACGAATTGTTGTTGTTGTTGTTGGAGGTGGCGGTGATGGCAGACCCGGACGGGTTGACAAGGCCCGTGTATTTATCTCTCGGGGGCTGCATTGCCGGAAGTAGGGATGGGTAGGACTTGTTGATCAGGAGTTTTGTGTCGAGTTGCGAGTCGTCCGGGAGGGCCGCTATCGTTGCGTTCAGTAAATCTTTCACCTTTGGTTGTGTCGTTACATGTATTATGAGAAGTAGAACAAGGTGACAACTATGATTTGGTCGGTTTATGTCAACATTATTAATAAACAAATTAATGAAAATTGAAAATTACTAAGAACGAAATATTAAAAACAATAGGAGCAAGAAAATACATTTAACAAAATTTTTTAAATTAGAAATGAGAGGATTAAAAAAATAATTAATTCAGGTTTTAAATCAGAAATTTTAATTAAAAATATAATTATTACTACTTTTATTACATTGAGACTCTACATTGATGAAAAGAAATGCTTGTCAGATCGACAAAGCCAATTATTATTGTGATTATTTTTGTGAAAAAAAAATATTTTTTTTCGAAAAAATAATATACAAAAATGAGGAAATTTAAATTTACCTGTTCAGCTCTTTTTTCAAATCTTTCGGTTATCTCAATCCTCTGCTCTTTTTGGTTTTCTAGCATCACTTTTAATGTCTCTCGCGCCTTCGACGATGGATGGTTTTGTTTTTTTTAATAAAAAATAAAATGACAATTAATTCGAAATAAGAAATAAAAAAGATGAATAATTCAAAATAAAGCTCCAATAATAGGTAATGATTACATTAATTCAACGATGGTTTATATCAAAATGAATAAATTCATGTAAATTGAAATAAAATTTCAATTGAGGATAATAAAATAACTATAATAAATTTTAAGAAAACATGCGGTAGAATGATAATTGAAATGAATAATACACAAATAATAATTTTAATTAATATATATATATATATTCAAGAAAATTATGCAGTGGTAAAATATTTAGAAGACAAAAAACTTTTCCAAGCAGCACTTTTATAAGGAACAACAAACATCGTCCAATACAACGTCCAATACATCGTCCAACCATTATTTAGTTTAGTCAGCGTAGACATATTTTTAATTTACACTCAACACAAACACACACACACATACAAGTAGAAGAATATCACTAAACAGTTTTATAAAAACCAATAATACAAAATAAAATAGAAGTAAAAATAAAATAATAAACTCAAAAAGAACATCGTAATAAACATGATATGAAAGGTGATAAAGTGATTAATAAACATGAGTAGGGGGAAGACTACCATAGCAACAAACCTGATGGGGCCTGAATTCATTAATCAGATGGTGCATGTGTATGAAAAGTAACGTCAGATCATCTATTTTCTCTAACCTACGTCGAGATTCTGGGGCCTTTACAAGTACGTCAAGCAAATCCAAAAAATTTACCAGGATGGAGTAATTCAACTTTTTCAATTCCCTTTTATGGTCATAGTTGTGCGGGTGGAGACGCACTAAACTCTGACTTTCGAGTGGGCGAATGATTTGGTCGTCTGCCCTGAACTCTACCCCGAACATCAAATAATAAGAATCCTGATTAAAAATTAAAATTAAATTAAAATAAATTTATCAGAAAACATCTTTAAAAAAAATTTGATACACAATTTTGTTTTATTATTTGGAAATTGTAAACAACATAAGAAACTGAATCAAATTTATCAAAAAAAAAATTTTTTAAATATCCCGAAAATAAAAAACAAGCAAATAACCTTTATAGGAGGCGGTGGCTTTGGGGCTCTGCCGAATTTGACATTATCGTCTGTGTACTTGTTGATGTATTGCATGGGTGGAGGAGGGAACGAGCTGGTGTTCTGATTGTCAGCGGCAGTCGCCATCACTCATTGAGTTTTATATTCAAAAATTAAAAAACTTTTAATGGCCTTCTCGATGGAATTATTACTAAATTAAACAAAAAACTAATAAATAAAAACCAAGCGAGCGATAATACTTAAAACTAAAATGAAACCGACATCAAAATGTTTTATACTTATATATATATATATATATATACATATATATATATATATATAAAACCAATGACATGAATTTATATAATATCTATGTTATATATCTATTTAGGCAATTATTGATAACTCATACATTTTAATTCAGCGGTTATTTGATTTATTTGTTGATTGACTGGTTAATTGATAGAACAGTATCAAACTGTATCTTATTGAACAAAGTAGTATCATAGAATGAATAAAGATACTTTTTTCAATAATTTTCAACTTGATTTCATTGCGATATTGACGATGATGGCTGTGACTGACTAATTAAAAAACATCAAATAAAACTTATAAAATAGGATGGGTAATGACGTCATGTTAACAGTGGTTATTTAACTGCCTGTTAGTGAATTAGCCGGTATAAAGGTTATATTCAATTCCTATCAAATAAATTAGACCAAATATCATACGCAGGTAAAACTAAATAAAGAAATAGATAGATATATGTAGTTATAATACATTTTAATATAAAAGTGTATTTAGCTCAGCTTGGCTTGGCTCGAATTTGGCTCAACTTGGCTTGGCTCAGCTTGGAATTGGACGTTAAGCAAGCAAGGTGTGGTCTCAAACTATTTTGAATTCTCCCCGACAAATTTGAACTGCGTGTGATATGTTATATTTGCACATTCAAATTGTACAATTGTGTTGTGGTGTAGTCTCAATTTATTTTGAATTCTCTCAGAAAAATTTAAACTAGTTACTTTTATCAACAATTTAAAAAAAATTCAATTTTATTTTATCGCCATATCGATGATGATGATTGTGACCTGACTATGGTTAAAAAGCATCTAAGAAAATTTTTAAAATAGGATGAAAAATTTGTTACGGAATCGTTGGAGGAAATGACGTCATGCTAGCGGTATTCTATACTTAGTGAAATGTATCCCTTCAACATCCACACCAAGAGAACAAGCCTTTTCAAAATCTGGAAAACTGATGAGCATAAAAAGAAATAGATTGCGAGATAGTTCAATAGAAGCGTGTGCGCGTTTAAACTATTGGATGGAATTTCTTGGCGAATAAAACTTGCGTACATGTTCAATTTTAATTAAATTTTGAAGAAAATATTTTTTAAACTCGCTCGCGTTATTTCTTTATTGGGGATATTCGTATATAAAGCGAGCAAAATTTTAATATATAAGCGCTTATAAATCTACGCATATTGACTCAGCTTGGATAGTTTCGGCTTGGAATTTTATCGGCTAGGCTCAGTTAAATAGTCATTAAATATATATATATGTATATATGTATATATATATATATATATATATATATATTATATAAATATTTAAATAATACAACTGATACAAATAATACAATATTTTGAATTCTCTCCGAAATATTTGAACTGCGTGCGTACATGTGTAGCACTGATCACTGTTGCTTTTATAATAAATATAAGTAACTGGAATCCATGTATACAAATTTAAGATTATATGTTTATATTGAAAGCAATATAGCAGATTCAACCAGCCAATCAGAAAGTTTCGAAAGAGTTCCTTCGATGACGTCAATTTAGTACAGTTAGCATTGTTGTTAAGACTGTATAATAGTGTAGTACATACATTAAAAAATTTTTTTACAGATGCGAATGATTGAAATGATGAGAATGTATGGTTGAAACGAGTATAAATAGAGGAGCTGAAACAGCAGAAAATCAGATCAGGCATTCTGCCTCGCCTGAAGCAGTCTGTCTGATCTCATTTATTTTATTTTTATAATTTTTTTATTTATTTTATTATATAGAGTTATATAGAGTTTGCATGTTTGTAGGTGGTTTGAGTGTTTGTAGGTGGTATTTTTTTTATTTTAGGTGGGTTCTTTAGCGGTTGCTCATACATACATACATACATCATGTTTGTTTGTGTGGTAGTATTTTATGTTCTGTTTTACTTCTTTTTCTCTTTCTTCATGAGTCTTGAGTTAAGTTAACGAAACATAGGTAGGTAAGATTGAGAATTAATTTATTATGTAGGTAGGCTAGGGCATAAGGTAATTTAGTTACATAGGTAGGTTAGGGACTTCTATTCTTTTACTCTACTTGGTGGTGTGTTTTTCGTTTTGTGTTTTTTTTTTGTTTTGTTTCACACCATACATTCAGCAGGTACGCGGTGGTTCCTGGTTTTAGTGGGATTTTTATAGATCGAATGTGGTAGTATGCATGGTTATATAGAGTTATATAGAGTTATATAGAGTTATATAGAGTTATATAGAGTTATATAGAGTTATATAGAGTTATATAGAGTTATATAGAGTTATATAGAGTTATATAGAGTTATATAGAGTTATATAGAGTTATATAGAGTTATATAGAGTTATATAGAGTTATATAGAGTTATATAGAGTTATATAGAGTTATATAGAGTTATATAGAGTTATATAGAGTTATATAGAGTTATATAGAGTTATATAGAGTTATATAGAGTTATATAGAGTTATATAGAGTTATATAGAGTTATATAGAGTTATATAGAGTTATATAGAGTTATATAGAGTTATATAGAGTTATATAGAGTTATATAGAGTTATATAGAGTTATATAGAGTTATATAGAGTTATATAGAGTTATATAGAGTTATATAGAGTTATATAGAGTTATATAGAGTTATATAGAGTTATATAGAGTTATATAGAGTTATATAGAGTTATATAGAGTTATATAGAGTTATATAGAGTTATATAGAGTTATATAGAGTTATATAGAGTTATATAGAGTTATATAGAGTTATATAGAGTTATATAGAGTTATATAGAGTTATATAGAGTTATATAGAGTTATATAGAGTTATATAGAGTTATATAGAGTTATATAGAGTTATATAGAGTTATATAGAGTTATATAGAGTTATATAGAGTTATATAGAGTTATATAGAGTTATATAGAGTTATATAGAGTTATATAGAGTTATATAGATACCTTTCTTGGCTCTTCTTTTCTCTTATCTTTGCCGACCTGTCGGTTTCTTTGCGGTTATTTTTATTTAAATTGAATAAATATGATTTTTCCATTCATTTAGGTTTTTTCAGGTTCATTCATCCTGGTTGAAGCTTCCAAAGGAGTTCATCGTGGACGATCAGACTGGTTGTGATGTCACGCTACGTTCATTCATTCAGTGGCAAAGAATGCACGCTTGGCTGGGATACCTTTTATTCTTTTTTCTCTGTTTTTCTCTATAATTTAACATTAAGTAAGAATGCTCACACGCACACACACATACACACAATTACACTAAGTAGCTATATAGGTAAGTTAGATAGGAATAATTTTAATTGTAGGTAGGATAGATAGGAAGCATCCAACACTAATGTAGTTGAATAGGTAGGCGCGTAAGTTTATTTCTTCTACTTTTTCTTGCACCCACATTACACGCATCAGCATATTATACACACACACAAATACATACATAAACATATATTAGTATTTGAGCGTAATTTTATTTTCATTACACATTCTAATTTATTATTACTAAGGTTGAGAGTAATTTAATTTCATAGGTAGTTAAGGGCTATAATGTAATTCTAGGAACAATCTTGTAATGTAAATTAAAACGCTGTAAGTGTATCGATAGGTAAGTTAATTATTAAGTTTTACATTATTATTATTAGGTTGGAGCCCAAGGCATTACGTAGGTGGTGGGGTGGGTGCCGAAAGGCCAATGAATTGGGCTCTTGAGTTTTGTAATTTTAGGTAAGCTTGGACCGTAATGTAATGTATAGGTAAGTTAAGGCTACGTTGTAACACACTCATTAATGGATTTAGAGTTTAAGTTGTATATTATTATTACTAAGTTGGAGCCCAAGGCATTACGTAGGTGGTGGGGTGGGTGCCGAAAGGCCAATGAATTGGGCTCTTGAGTTTTTTTGTAATTTTGGGTAAGATAGGGCTTAATTGTAATGAATAGGTAAGTTGAGGGTACGATAGCCGATAGACTCTGAATTTCGAAGTCTGTTGTCAGAGGTAAGCCTTGGTGGCCAGTGGTGTACCGGCAATGGTTTACTATCCGGACGGCAATGGTTTACTATCTGCACGGTAATGATTTACCAAGCGGCACGGCCATAGTCTACTACCCGCACGGCTTCCGGACGGCAAATGGTTTACTATCCGCTCGGCAATAGTCTACTATCCGCACGGCAATGGTTTTCTATCCGGTGCCCTGGCTGTCGGCAAACCTCTGTGCAAGGAGGGAGAATGAAGGGGGACTTTCGACTATCGTACCATTAACAATTTAATAAAGATTAGTTAAGGTAATTGAATAGGTAGATAGGATTATTTTTATTAAGCAATTTGAGATGCAGGCACCGCTAAGCTTTCTGATGAGAATCTACTCTTTCTCTATCTTTCTTCATCAACACGGGCTGTGTTTCAACAACAATCTCGAGAAGGACTGGCACCAGTTTTCGAGGACAACGTAGGAACCGGACCGCATTCAACATTCTGCCTTTGTCGAATGGACGACGGTAAGTTTTTTTTACATTTTACTCTATTATTTTAAGATATTATTTATTTGACATTATTTTCATTTTATAATTTTTTGCTTCTATGATTCTAACATTCATTTACTACTACGCTAATAAAAAATGTCTACAGAATGATGAGAGGTGGGCAGTGGTGGGCGTCAGCACGTTTCAGATGGTGGTCTCATGATGATGGTGGTGTAGGAAGAATCAGCTTGTTGGCTGTTCGACTGAAACTCTGAAGTTCGAATGACATCTTATGCCGACCAGATGTTGATGGTCGGTGCAATGGAGAGTACAGTAACGACGATTTTTGAAGTAAGATTTACTTTCGTTTTTTATTTTTCTCATTCATTCATTCGGTCATTTTATCACTCAATCTTCAAAATTATTTTTACATTGATTCGTTAATTCATTCTATTCGTTCATTGAATCATTGATTGATTAATTTATTCATTCATTCACTCAATCATTCAACCAATCATTCAGTTAATCATTTATTCGTTCGTTCCTTTGTTCCTTGATTTACTACTACGCTGATAAAAAAAAACTTGTCTACAGAGTGATGAGAGGTGGGCTGTGGTGGGCGTCAGCACGTTTCAGATGGTGGACTCATGATGATCGTTCCGATGACAATTCGAAGATAACAACAACAATAATAAGTATTAACGAGAAATTGTTTGCCGTCGTACCTCAGAAAGTACTGGAATTTGAACAAAGGAGTGGAATGTTTTGGAGTGATTGGAATGGATTGTCATCTCAATAACACAACATTTGCACACATACACACTACAATACAACACACACATACACAACATCCATTTTTCGGTGTTGTCGTTGTTATGTATCTCTTCAACTTGCTATTTTCTTTACCGGACTTTAATTTAATTCGTAGGTAAGTTAGGGATTGAGATGAGTTGGACAATCGTAGGTAGGCTAGGGCTTAACATTAGTTAAAAAGTTTCTAACAAAAAAAAAATTAAAAAATAAATTATTTAAAAAAGGCAAATTAAAAACGTTAAAAGATGTAAAATACAATACCTGAAACATGTAAAATTCCTAAAACTTAGAAATAAAAATTTGTAGGTAGGTGAGATGAGTTAATAACTATAGGTAAGCTAGGGCCCTGAGAGTAATTTAACTATAGGTAGGTGACTGACTAATATTCTTACGACTTTTAACTATTTTTTTGTTATGTGTTTGTTTTTGCTTCACAACACCACACCAACAAAACATAGTAAATTTTTTTTTCGTCGTCGCCTTATATTTTACTTTTTTGAACAATTTTTTCAATAATGTCTATGTAATTATTTATTTATTAAATGTTAACTGGTTTCTAGTTTTTTTCTAATTTGGTTATATAATTTTTGGTATTTCTTGATTTACTTTGTATATATGCATGTATAAATGATTTCTTGTTTCAATAAAATTTAAAAACAAAAAATCAATGAGTTGAATTTCGTTTGAAAAAAAAAAAATCGAAATCGATTTGTTATTTCAACATAGGATCGAATCATCACCATATAATTAGAATCACTATATAATTATAATAAATTGTTATTTTTTATCGGTCGATATTTCGTTATATTTGTTTAAAATCCAAACTTTTTAAAAAATTCACTTTTTCATTTTTAAAAATATTAAATGATTTACGTTGGCTGGGTGCTAAAAAACGAATAATCTACAAATGTTGCCTTCTGTTTAAAGTCACGTATGCCCTTTTTTTATTTTATTTTTTAAATAAAATATCTATACCAAAAGTTATTACTTCTGCCTAGATATTTGTTGGCTACAAATTTGAAAAGAGATCAACAATTTATACAAAACTTAATAAATCAAATTCTTAATTCTTCATGTGAGTAAATGAGTGAATATTCTTTAAATAAATAAATGAATGAATACATTTACAACACACACACAGACACACGCACGAACGTATGTATACAGCACGTAATAAACATATTTGGAATGAACAGGTGAATGTATAAATAACAAAAAACAATTACACACACACATACATACAAACACATACATCCACACACACACATACATACAAACACATACATCCACACACACACATACATACACACACACACACGTATATATACATTATGGTGTACTGTAACTTTTTTCAGTTTCCTCTTATTTAAAGGAAAGCCGAAATAAGTTATTTCTCCGTTATATCGATGATGATGATTGTGACCTGACTGGTTAAAGAGCCTCAAAGAAATTTTTTTAGGATGGAGAATTTGTTACGGAATCGTTGGAGGAAATGACGTCATGCTAGCGGTATTCTATACTTAGTGAAATGTATCCCTTCAACATCCACACAAAGAGAACAAGCCTTTTCAAAATCTGGAAAACTGATGAGCATAAAAAGAAATAGATTGCGAGATAGTTCAATAGAAGGGTGTGCGCGTTTAAACCATTGGATGGAATTACTTGGCGAATAAAACTTGTGTATATGTTCAATTTTAATTAAATTTTGAAGAAAATATTTTTTAAACTCGCTCGCGTTATTTCTTTATTGGGGATATTCGTATATAAAGCGAGCAAAATGTTAATATAAAAGCGCTTATAAATCTACGCATATTGACTCAGCTTGGCCTTGCTCGGCTTGGAATTGGATGTTAAGCAAGGTGTGGTCTCAAACTATTTTGAGTTTTCCCCAATATATTGTTATAACCGACCCCTAGAACTTGTAGGGTATGGTTATTTCTCTTTACGCGGATTCTTGATTCCTAAACAGACTTATTTTAGATGACTTTATTAGAAAGAAAACAGAGCTGGCAATTGCCGTAATCGATCACTCGTTCGTTAAAATCGTTGGAATACAAAACAATAACTAATCAACAGTTAAATCACAAGATAAAACTAATCGTCAATAATTAAGCTCTTCTCGTCAGATGTTTCTTGACCGTAAATCCTAAGTATCCACTTCTCGGAAGATTATCGTAATTCACTCGCAGACCGCGTGTAGAATTCTTCGCGACAAACTTCTCCTTGGGCGTTATCGCTAATTTGTTTGCAGTACGCACACAAAATATCTCTGCGATAATAGGACTGCCTGAAACTTCTTCTGACTTCTTCGTAATTCTCGTCGTTCCTTGCTATTTCGTGCACTTCTCTCTCTAATCTCTCTCCTCTTATAGTTCTTGTTGTCGGTCTATTTATACCTCGCTTTCTTTTACAATGCATCGACATTTTACAATACGGTTTTCACTGGCTCCGCCTAATTAAATTATCAAGCGCTTCACTTTAATTTCTAATTACCAATTCTTATCTTGCCTTCACGTCTGTAACAATATATTATATATAATTAGAATCCATGTAATACAAATACTTTATAAGATTATATGTTTATATAAAAAGCAATATGGCAGACCCAACCAGCCAATCTGAATGCTTCGAAGGTAAACGCGTGTGCATGTTATACAAAACGTATGTGTAGAGCGTATCTATCTTTAATACTTAACACAAGTGCTATTATAACCCATTCATTCATTCATTCATATACACACGCATGTCGTCTTCTAGTTTCTATCATAGGTAGGCAACGTCCGATCTTGGGGAAAATGTCGTCTAAACGTGTGTTGTTGTTGTCATCAAATTTTAAACATCTTAAACGTGATTTAAGACGGGCCATTTAGGTTGTCTTTTCGCGGGTGCAGTGCGGAAATTAGCAGGGCGAATGCGGTTTAGAAAAATCTTCTCTGCTTGGGGCTCTACTGCAAAGTACACTTCAGACTTACCCAACCCAACTACCGAATACAAAAAGCAGAAAACAAATTCGAAGTTAAACTCCATTTCATTTAAATAAAATATCCTACAATAATAAAATAACAAAAGATTTTGTATAATAATAATTAAACATTGGATTAAGAGGAAGTCAGTCAGTCGTCCAACAGATCACAAAAACGGCTCACACTTTGGAGCCAATGGCTGAAGTAATTACTATTTTAATGATTTTTAACATAAAATCCTAAAATAATAAACCTTCTGGCAGTTAATTAATGAAATAAATAATAATAATTAATAAAATAATTATACTAATAATTTATATTTAAAAAAAAATAATAAAAACAATCAGAAGCAGTAATCCTCTTCATCGTCGTCGTCCCTAGATTTGCTCCTCTGTTGGTTGATGATCTGATCCTGGCTCCTATACATACTCGCAATCTTCGGTGCGCAATTATGACGTCATTAAAGATAGCATTTATAAAATCGTCATCATCATCGCCAGTAAGTAAGTAACATCATCATCATCATCGTCGTTGTCATCATCATCATCATCAGTAAGTAACATCATTACCATCATCGTCATCATCATCATCATCATCAGTAAGTATCATCGTCGTCAACATCATCAACAACATCACCATAACGGTTAATCATGTAATCATAATTAGAATGCCGAGTCGGTCGGGGATTTTTTGCCGGAATCGAAATTTCGAAGGGTCAGAGTCGAAATTTCGGGGGGAGGGGCAGATTCGGAACTTTTGGGGGACCAGAGTCGAAATTTCGAGAGGCCAGAGTCGAAACTTCTGAGAGGAGGAAACTGGAGTCGGAATTTTTTTGAGGGAGGAGGCCAGAGATTAACCTCTACATGAACATCCTCATCTTCATCCTAGCCAACGTCATCATAACCCAACCTCATCATCATCACAACACATTACATTACCATCACAGCCACCACCGTTATAATTACCTGAGAACTACTTGTGGCTTGTTCGGCTTTCTTATCGTCTCTGATCCTAATGAAGCGAGGAAAGCGGAGTGAGATGCCTTTCTCTGGGTCCACCTGCCATCATTATCATAACCAAGATCATCACCATCAAGATCATTACCATCATCACCATCATCATCATCGTCATCAAGATCATTACCATCATCACCATCATCATCATCGTCATCAAGATCATTACCATCATCGTCATCATTACCATCACCATTATCGGCAAGATCATTATCATCATCGTCATCACTATAAAGACCATCTCACTGATTAATAAACTGGTCAGCTAATCAAATCAGGCCAAAATCAACCAACCAATAACGGACTAACCACTAAACTGATCAACCAATCACAGAGCATCTACTAAAGAAAGCAGCCAATAGCTAATCATTTAACTAGCCTATCACAGACCAGCTACTGAATCGACTAACCAATCCCATGGCCGCTTTATGGACTGGAGACAGCGATAGGTCAGCGGCTTTGACCTCCCACACTTGGACAACATCAAACCATCTGTCAGGCACGTGACTAGCGTCGAATCTGATTGGACAGTTGATTGATCGATTGGCTGATTGATAAGTTGGTTGATTGAATAGCTAAATGATTGGAAGATCGAGAAAATAGAGGGAAGATATTAAAAGAAGCTAATCAAAAAAGTTGTTCAGTAGCTCTGCTACATAAACATAGTTTAGCAAATGAAATAAATTTGATCGTCATAACATGAATGAGAGAATGAATGACTGATGAAAATGAATGAATGAATGAATGACGAATAAATGATGGTGGACAAATGAATGGTGAATGAGTGAATGAATGGAGATAATGTAGAGCTGAAATTCGTATTTGACAATTTTCAATTTTTTAAAGTTCACTAGATTAGACAAGAGTATTTAATATTTGTTAATTCTTTATGATTGCAATCACAATTATTACAGCTTAGATTGAAACCAAATCATAAAGATATTAATCACATTCAATTTGAACATAATTTACTTTAAGAAAGATAGAAGATAGATAGATAGACACTTTGAAATGAACCAATCAATCAATCAATCAATCAATCAATCAATCAACCAATCAATCAATCAATCAATCAATCAATCAATCAATCAATTCCTCAACCAATCAATCACCAATCAACCAAAAACTCAACTAGTCAACCAATCATTCGATCAATCATTCAATCAATCACCCAATCATCTGATGAATCAATCAAAATGCCAATCAACCATTTGATCAATCACCCAACCAATCAATTAATCAATTAATCATTCCATCAATCAATCAATCCATCATCCAATCAAACAGCCAACCAACCAATTAATCAATCATACAATCAATCAATCCATCAAACAATCAGCAATTCATTCATCCAATCAATCATTCAATCAATCATCCAATCAATCAACAATTAATCCACCAATCAATCAGCAATTCATTTATCCAATCAACCAACCAATCAATCATCCAATCCATCAATCAATCAGCAATTCATTCATTCAATCAAACAATCAATCAGCCCTGCCTGTAATAAGACTTGGGACCCTCAAGCAAGTGGCCCTTGAAGAATTCTGAATGCTTCTCAAGGTCCGCATCACTGAACCCCGTACCTATCTATAATTTCATTTAATATTATTATAATATTTTTATTATAATAAAATAATAATATCCAGAATTATTTATAAATATATAATAATATTATAATGTTCTTATTATAATAAAATTACAATAATAATATCCGTAATTATTTATAAAAATAATAATTGCAATGATACTAATTGTAGTAGTAATGACAATGGTAACTGCCATAAAGATATTAGCAATGTAATTGGCCGAAATAGGATCAGTAATAATGGTTGAGAAGAATGATGATGGAATTAAAATTGAACTAACCAACCAACCAACCAACCAACCAAATCAATCAAGTTAATCGACCAACCAACCAGCCAGCCAACTAACCGACCAACCAATCAACCAGCCGACTAACTAACTATCCAACCAACCGACCAATCAAATCAATCAAGTTAACCAACCAACCAACTAACCAACCATCCAACCAACCAACCAACCAACCAGCCCACCAACCGACCTTGCAAATAGTTTGAAACTCTTCATTATCCTCATCGTAGCAGCCGAGCAGAAAGCCACCGAATCGCCCCACCCTCTTGCCAGTCCCGTGGTAGCCACCCAGCACCACCAGGTCCACCGTGTCACCCACACCATCCAGGTAGTCTTTTTTCAACTGCGTGCATGTATGCATGTTTGAGAGAGAGAGAGAGAGAGAGAAAGAGAGAGAGAGTGTGCGTGAGTGATGATAAGTTGAGTAAGAGAAGGAGAGAGAGAACAAGAGAACGAGAATGAAATAAGGGAGCAAGAATGAATGAATGAAAGAGAGAGAGAGAGAGAGAGAGAGAGGGATAAAAATAGGGAAGAATGAATGGGAAAGAAAGAAAGAGTGAATAAAAAAGACAGATGGGACGACGGAAAACGTGAATCAATGGAAGAGAGTGACAAAAAAAAGAAAAATGAGTGAGAAAGGAGAGGAGAATGAAGCAAAGTGAGATGGTGAATGATAGAGAGAAGGAAAATAATGCATGAATGAACGAGAAGAAAATGAACGAATGAAAACTAAAAAAAAAACAGAAAGACTGACATTCCAAGTAAGACCAAGTAGCATCATCAATAAATATTTGTTCAAGAGTGAGAGAAAGAGAAAAAGAACAATGAACGAGTGAAAAAGAAAAACAGAAATATAAGGTTAAAGGTCAATAACACTCTTCATAGATTCAGAGGGGTCAACTAAACTATGCATCACACACAAGAATCACGTGACAGACGGAGATCTTTTTGTCGCATTCGAACCCGGCAACTGCAAGCACTACGAAACAGCAGCAGGCGACCTTAACCACTAGGCCACCCACCACTAGGTCATCAAGGGGATGAAAAAGATGACTCACCTTAAGCCAGTTATGCGACCTTTTAGCAATCTCATAAGTAGCATCATCATCCAAGGTTTTTACCATCAGGCCCTCACAGTTTCCTCTGATGGATTCATCGAGGAACTCCGAGACCTCATCCATGCTACTGGAAATGAGGCT